CAGGTCAAGTGTGTGTCCACCTTTATGAGTTGGGCCCTGAACCACCTGAGTCAGGTCCATGGCCGCCATGGAGGCCATGAACTCCCGAACCGTCTCAGATGTCTCGCCGATCAATGGCAGATTGAAATCTCCCACAACCAGAAGGCTGGGGAGTTCAACTGCCACTTCAGCCAAGACATCGAGCAGTGCGGGCAGGGCAGTGGCCACACAGCTGGGAGATAGGTACGTGACCAACAAACCCAACTGAACTCCAGGGTCCCACTTCAATAGGAGAGATTCACACCCACCTATCTGAGGGACAGTGACCTCCCTAGGACTAAGACTTTCTCTAATAACCACCGCCACCCCGCCACCCTGCCACCCCTTCCCTGGCGTCGCGGCTGGTGCAGTACATGAAAGCCTGGGGGGTATAAATCATAGAGAGAAACTCCCCCCTCCTGCCCCAGCCAGGTCTCCGTAATGCAAGCCAGGTCTGCACCCTCCTCATCAATAAGATCTTGTACGAGGGGGGCCTTATTCGCTACAGACCTGGCATTCACATACACCAGCCGGAGTCCAGGGTTCCCCGCTCTCGCACCCCCAGGGAGGCAGGGTGAGCAGTGAGAGCGGGAACGCGCCACCACCTGGATACAGCGTCCCTGCCTCCTACTCCCATCTCCTCTGCCCCTCCCTACCACTAACATTACTGTACTTGCACAATTGATCAAAATAATAAAAATCTATTACAATGGAGAAAAAGACCATGCAGCTTATACACTCATTTTCAACCATCAATTAATTAATTAATCACAGCTAAGAATGGAGGAATGTAGAAAGAATAGCAGAACCTGGGGGCGGAGTGAAAAGAGGGATCAACCTAGAATCCCTATGTAGCCACAAGCAAACTCAGTCTAACTCCCCTTGAATGCTGTTAACCCTTATCTAACTCTAACCAGGTGCTGACTATTAGCTGAAAAGATTCTTGTGCATAGGCTTTTAGCAACAAATCAGCTTAATTGAACTGTAGACCTGGTCTTTCATGCCTGACAAGGAAGAAATAAATGCAGGCTATTCTCTCTAGAAAAGTGGATTGTGATGCACAAAAGCTTCATGTAACCACAAGAGTGTTTGTATTGTTTTTTCCTGCAAAATAAATAAGTAATGTTAAACAACACAGCTGCTTCTTTGGCAAATAGTACCAGAAGACAGAAGTCAAAAGTTAAGAGACTTAAATTGATTGGCCTCAATGAACAGTACTGGTGTTTTGCTGATATGATTTTTTTTTTAAAAAAAAAATCCATCTTCCTTCACCATAGAATTTCTTCTGATGACTCAACGTGACTTCTGCCGCGTGGCTTTTTCCAAGTTGTGTTGAGCAAAGTGACAAATTCTAGATTCCCTGGGAAAGCTCAAAAGACTACGTTCCCCAAGAAAAAGCATAGAAATTACCATTTACACAAATTATCAAAAATTGTTGAGTCTTCCCTGAAAAATATGAACTGTAATAAAACTATCCATGTAAATGATAATTTAAAAATGCCAGATACAATCTCCAGCAAGTTTCATTTATAAAGTGGCACCAATGGCAATCAGATACAATTATTGAATCGTGGATTTTGAAGAGATCAAAAGGTCACGTAGTCCAATGTTTTTCAAACTTGGCAACTTTCAGATCTGCAGACTTCAACTCATGCTGGCTCGAGAATTGTGGGATTTGAAGTCTGCGTGTCTTAAAGTTGTCAGTTTGAAAAATACTGGTCTAATGGATTTTCTTGCAAATTGCAAAGTTCTTGTGATCCCTTTCAACTCCACAATTCTAAGATTTGCATCTATACAAAAACTTCCATAATATATATATTTTTTTTGCTTTAATTTATATGCTGCCCTTCTCCGGAGACTCAGGGCGGTTTACAATGCATTAAGCAATAGCCTTCATACTTTTGTATATTTATACAAAGTCAGCTTATTTCCCCCACAAATTGGGTCCTCAATTTACCTACCTTTGAAAGGATGGAAGGCTGAGTCAACCTTGAGCCTGGTGAGATTTGAACTTGCAGTAATTGCAAGCAGCAGATGTTAATAACAGTGCTTTACTCCACTGTACTACAGGCTCTTTCAAGGAGACACTTGTGTAAGGGGTGGGATATTAATGCTAAATGAGGATGCAATTAATAAAACCATAAATATTTCATTTGGAGACACCACATAGGATGCTTTGACTTGTCCCAGCAGATAACAGCATCAAACTGGCTGATCTAAAAAACTAATCCAGCATTTGGAGGAGAAATCAGCGAGCCTTGGTAGTACAGTGGTCTAAAGCACCCTGTTATTAAGAACAGCTGCCTGCAATTACTGCAGGTTCTAATCTCGCCAAGGCTCAAGGTTGACTCAACCTTCCATCCTTTCTAAGGTAGGTAAATTGAGGACCCAGTTGTGGGGGCAATAAACTGACTTTGTATAAATATACAAAAGAATGAAGGCTATTGCTTAGCGCATTGTAAGCCGCCCTGAGTCTCCGGAGAAGGGCGGCATATAAATCAAATTTTTAAAAAAATGTTCCAATATTTGAGGGGCTGCCACAAAGAAGAGGGGATCAACCTATTTTCCAAAGCAACAGAAGGGAAGACAAGAAGCAATGGATGGAAGCTAATCAAGGAGAGAAACAACCTAGAACTAAGGAGAAATTTCCTAACAATTAACAATTGAAAGAACAATTAACCAGTGGAATGGCTCACCTTCAGAAGTTGTGGGTACTCCATCTCTGGAGGCTTGTAAGAAGAGACTGGCAGCCACTTGTCTAAAATGGTATAGGTCCCCTGCTTGACGGGAGGTTGGACTAGAAAACCTCCAATATCCCTTCCAACACTTATTCTCTTATTCTATTATCACTGGGAATTCCAGAACCAGAGGCTAGAGTGAGAAGTTGATAAAAAGAAAACCACAGAAGACAAGAACTAGCCTTTGTAGTCAGCACCATAATGCATTTGCAGAGATTAATGGCAAATAGAGGTTGTATATAGATATTTGCTTTCCCTCCACCTTATTATGAATTGTAGTAATGGAGAATGATGAACATGCTAATTTCAGCAGTTATTAGGCTATGTCATCCCTTTGAGACAATTCAGACCCAAAGCATGAACCATGAGTCCTTGCATTACACTCATTGTAAGGTTACAATAGCAGCCTGAAAGCACTTCTCCCTCCTTTACGTTTTACATTCCAGAAAACTAGAGAGGGTAGGGTTAGATGCTTTTCACATCCCTTTTCCTTTTGTGGGCTGAGATACCATTTTTATGACAATTGTCTAAGCTGCATTTCTTCCTTCTGTCTCTCATGGTTATTTCCACATACCACTATAGGCTGTGATTCTGAACTCCCTGACTCCAATTTGGGGAGGAAATGTACACCCATTCAAACAGAAATCCACTGACTATCCTTTTGCAAAATGCCTCTTTCTTTAATGATCTTGGAACAAAATTCATCAGCAAATATTGCAACATCTGGGTTTTCTCACATCAAGAAAGCACCAGGCTGTTGATTCTCATTCAGTTAAAGTTCAGTTATTGGCACTAATAGAACTAGTCCATCAAATACAATTGTCAAGCCTCACCATGAACCACAATAAGACCAAAGATTTTTTAAAGATAAATCTTTATTATAGGGAGATACTTACGTAGGATTCCTGGCTACATTTGATGGGCTGTGCTGTTCTCATATAAATTATTATACAGTGTGCAGTTCTAGCTTAGACTGAGTTTCTTTCTCTAAACTGCAGAGTGACGAACAGTTTCCATGGAGAATAACAACAGCAGGCACAATATGTGAGGTCTGGCATTTAAATTTATGCGCTTCTCTAATGGAGTTCATGAAGCAATTAAGCCCTGCTAGATTTATATCTCATGGATTTCTGTCAAGAAAAAAGCAGGCATAGTCTTCCATCCATTCTTCCCTCCATTTCATGCTTTAATCAGATTTAACAAAGCAAAATGGAATCCAGGAATTGGTGGATGATGGTTCATAGCCTTCTTTTATAAGGCATCATAATAACAAAAAATTGCAAGATATTCAAAGAAGTCAAATGTTGAGAGCACCTTAAGCAGCTTATAAAACTCAAATAGCGACATTGTGAAATAATTCACATATTAGTTATTAAGCCAATCAACCTTAACCATTAACAATTTTAGTTTAGTGTGACTCCAGGGCTGTGTTAAAAAGAAAAAAATGGCAAATTTTTCTCTAGTTCTAGTTATCTGTTTTTCTCTTTACAACTTAGTACAGGTTGTCCTCGACTTACAACCATTTGTTTAGTGACCATTCAAAATTGCAATGGCACTAAAGAAAGGGACTTATGACCATTTTTCACGCTTGCAACCGTGTGAAGCATCTCCATGGTCATGTGATCAAAATTCAAACGCTTGGCAACTGGTGTGTATTTGTGAGGTTTGCAGTGTCCCAGGCTCATATGATCATCTTTTGTAACCTTCTGACAAGCAAAGTTGATGGGGATGCCAGATTTGCTTAACAACCATATGATTCATTTAACAATTGCAGAGATTCATTTAACAACTGTGACAAGGAAGATCATAAAATGGAGCCAAATGCACTTAACAGCTGTCTTGCTTAGCAACAGAAATTTTGGGCTCAATTGTAGTCATAAGTCAAGGACTACCTGTATTTGAAATTATTCACCTGGCCTCCTCCTTTCACCTCTATCTTTTTCCTACTGTTTTTCTGGCTAATTGGCAAATTCAGAGGGGTTGATATAGCAATTCAGATGGTCATACAACACCTTTGCTTATACTAATACTGCATAGCAGAGAAACCATACGCAGAATTGCCCTATAATACTTCTTTGCTCACACTAAATAAAATAAGTAAAACCCTAATTATGAAGCCAGAAAAGTGATATCATCCAATTCATTGTTTCCCAGCTATAGATTTCACAAACTAGAATGTAATTGAGATTTTTTTTTTAATGTTGATCTTCATTCATGAGTGATTCTCCTTTTGTTCCCTGACAGCAAATGGAACATCAAGCAGCCAGCTTTCCACACCGAAATCAAAGCAGTCCCCAATCTCTACACCTACTAGTCCAGGAAGTCTCCGTAAGCACAAGGTATTACGTTTCTTATACCTTACTAAACCTCCTTCCAGCAGATTACACAGTGTTGAGAGTTACTTGAAGGTAACAAACTTGAGACCACTGCATCCAATTCTGGTCACCAGGATCCAAAAAAGATGTTGGGACCCTCGAAAGAATGCAGAGAAGAGCAACAAAGATGTTAAAAGTCTGAAGGCTAAACCGTATGATAAAGGATTGAGGGAACTAGGTATGTCTAGTCTAATGAAGAGAAGGGCCAGGGATGATGTGATAGCAGTTTTCCAATACTCGAGGGGCTGTCACAGGTAAGATTCTCCAAAGCATCTGAAGGCAGAACAAGAAGCAATGGTTAGAAGCTTGTCAGAGGGAGATCCAACCTGAAACTAAGGAGAAATTTTCTGACAGTGAGAACAATTAACCAATGGAACAACTTGCCTCCAAAAGTTGATAGTGCTCTATTACTAGAGATTTTGAAAAAGAAATTGAACAGGCATTTGTCTGGAATGATATAGGATGGGGTTCCGTATTGTTCTGGATACTAGTCCGTGCAAATGAGTGAAGCCCCATCCAGGGGATCCAGGCAGCATGCAAAACCATGCCCCCTCCAGTCCATGGAAAAACCTTTCTCCATGGAACCAGTCCCTGGTGCCCAAAAGGTTGGGGGCTACTAATATAGGATCTCCTGCTTGAGGAGGGGGTTGGACTAGAAGACCTCCAAGATCCCCTCCAACCCTGTTATTCTATGTTCTATGAAACTATGTTGAGGTGATCTCTGTGAGGGTAGAACACTTCTACTTCAAATAGGACTCCTGATCATTTAGCAACTCGGAAGCCATCTTGTCTTTCTCAACTGTGCCAGTTCTTTGCTTGTTTATTTGTTAACATTATTTTTCCCACTTTTTTTTCCAGGAATTCAAGATAGGGGGAATTGCATTCCTTCTTCCTATTTTTCACTCCCAACAACAAATATAGGGGGTAGAGTGGGTTGAGAGAGAAAGTCTGGCTGAAGGTCACTCAAATGAGTTTGCACAGTTTAGAATTGTCAGAAATCTTAACTATCAGGAGCTTTGTCCCTGGCAAGACCTCAGAGAATGGGAAATACTGTAGGAAAAAGCCTTAAGCCAGCGGGTCTGCTTTTAGAATAGCACTGAAGCTAATGTTGCCTCTGCAAACTGTAAAGTACAGGTAGCCCTCAACTTACGATCACAGTTAAGCCCAAAATTTCTGTTGCTCAGCAAGAAAATTGTTGTGAGCTTTGGCCCATTTTACTATCTTTCTTGCCACAAGTGTTAAGTGAATCACTTCAGTTGTTAAGTTAGTAACACGGTTGCTAAGTGAATCTGGCTTCCCCATTGATTTTGCTTGTCAGAAGACTGCAAAAGGAGATCACGTGACTCCAGGATACTGCAACCATCATAAATACATGCCAGTTGCCAAGCATCTGAATTATGATCACGTGACCACAGGAATGCTGCAATGGTTGTAAGGGTGAAAAATGATCATAAGTCACTTTTATGACTGCCATTGTAACTTTGAATGGTCACTAAATGAACTGTTGTAAGTCGAGGCCTATCTGTACTCTAGAATTACATTTTGTTGATGCTGCTGTTTTCTGGGTCAGGACTGCTAGTAACAGTTATTTTGGCTTAACTGTTAACAACCTCTAAATCTCCATGTCCTTTCTCTCCTCACGCACACAAAGCACAAATGTGGTCACACACCCAGACAGTCAGAACAATTAATCAGCAGAACCGGCTTGCTTTCAGAATGTCTTTGGAGACTGTCAGTCATCCAGGTCATGGCTGTGCCTAGGGTGTTTTTCAAAATGCAACTAGACTTTCTTAGTTTTTTCCCTTGAAAATGTTTCAGTTCTCATGCAAGAACTCATCAGAAATTTCTTGGATGAGGGACTTCCGGTTGGCTCCGCTGACTTTGCTGACGCTCCTCCGTGGGCGCCTGATCCCGGTACCGTAAAAGCCCCAGAACAGCCAAAAAACAGCTGTCTGGGACTTGGAAACCCTCTCCCCGGGCAAAGGGGAGAGAGAAGAGCCGACAGGTGGAGGTAGAGCCCCCCAAGCGCCCTAGGAGAAATCTGGGGGCGCGAAGGGCGAGGGCTCCCTAGAAGTCTGTCAATCTGCTCCGGACCTGGGAAGACTCTGCTATTTAGCGGAGCTAGAAGCTGTGACCATCTCTGCCGATAACAAGTGAGGGAATTCTTAACATCTCTAATTGCTGCAGGCAGAACAAGCCAGGAGAAGTTAGACTGCAAGTATTTACACTTAACTCCACTGTTTATAGCCTCCTTCGGAAGTAACAAGTTTGCAATTTGCAACAAAATGGCGATTGAAGCTTGAAAAGGAAGGGCGGAGAAAGTGAAAGCTATAGAAAGTTTCGTTTCGCTGGTAGCCTCTTGCCTGGAAAGAACTGTTGTGCTGAGAGAAGGAGGATTTTAAACGTTAATTTATGATTGGGAAAATTCTTTGACTTTGATGAACTTTTCTTTTTGGCTTCTGATTAAAATACAACGATCAATTTAAACTGAAAATGGCCTCAAAATCTGTAAAGACTCTACCTATTAAAGGAACTGGGAGTGCTGGAAGCTCCCCAGCTCATATTCCTAGATTGCAAGCCTCTGCCCCCCCCCAACAGACCCACAGACTTTAACGTTTGAGATGATACAAGAAGCCCTACAAGCCACACAAAACAAAATTGCTACTGTGATTAATGAAAAAAATTAATGAAACTAATGAAAAAATTAATCAAACTAATGAAAAAATACAGGCTGTTTCAGATGAGATTTTAATTCGGAATCGGCAAATTAGAGAAGATATATTATTGGCATTTAAATGTTTGGCAGGTGATATTGAAATGGTGGATGATAAAGTTGAAGAAATTAAGCAATCTACGGAAATTTTGGATAATAAATTGGGAGAGACTCACAGCAGACTTGAGAGAGCTGAAGTTGATGTAACGTTACAATATAGAGAAATGGAATTTGCTTTAAGATTCAGAGGGGTGAGGGAGAATATATTTGAAGAACCGAAGGATCAAAGCAACAGACCAGAGCAGCAACAGCTAAGCGTAAGGAAGAATTAAGACAGCAACAACAACAACAACAACAACAACAACAACAACAACTGCAGATAGCAACTCAAGAAACTACCAAATCAGAAGCTGTGGGAGGAGCAAGACCTAAAGGTCAAATGAGGCAAGATCATCAGAAATTGCTCCAGGCGCTTCAGAGGCCCAGAGATGGGAACTAGATTTCTGACCTGAAATGTCAATGGTTTGAATTCTCCACAGAAGAGAAGGAAAATATTTCACTATCTTAAATAATTTAAGAATGAAGTAATTTGTTTACAAGAGACTCATATTAGGATACAAGATCAAAAATATTTGACAAATGCAAGATTTGTCATACACATTATGTTGCAGCAGCATCAGAAAAGAAAAATGATATAGTTATATATGTGAAAAGAGACTTAATTGCAAAATTAGTTGAAGCGGATGATCAAGGAAGATTTTTAGCGATTGAACTTTTAATAAAAGGAGAAAAAACACTTGTAATTGGAGTATATGCCCCGAACCAACAAGAAGAAAAATTTTATAACTTACTACACTCAAAGTTGACACAATGGAGATATAAAACTTGTATCCTATTGGGAGATTGGAATGGTGTTTTGGACGTAAAAAAAGATAAGAAGGGACCTAAACAAAATGTTTTAACAAGAGCAAAATTGCCCAAACCGTTCTGGGAGATGATGGATGACTGGGAGTTGAGGGATATTTGGCGTGAAAGAAACCCAGAAGAAAAAGACTTTACTTTTTTTTCGGATAGACATCAATCTTTTTCAAGGATTGATTTTATATTAATTACTAATGATTTATTATCTAGGGTGAAGAACACGAAGATTTGTTCAAGAACATTGACAGACCATAGTCCAGTCTGGATGGAATTGGAGTATGGAGAAGGGCCTAGGAGGTCCTAGAGGTTAAATGATAATTTGTTTAGATACGAAGAAAATGTAAAAGAGTGTAAAAAATGTATGAAAGAGTTTTTTGCTATGAATATGCAAAAGGGTACATCTATGGAAATGGTATGGGATGCAAGTAAATTCCTACATGCGGGGAATTTTGATATATCTGAATAATAAATATAGAAAGAAACAGGGGGCAAAAAGAAAAGAATTAGAAGAGGAGATCAATAAACAGGAACAGGCTTTAATAGCCAACCCAACAGATAAGAAAATTAAAGAGGCAATCAATTTATTGAAGGGTCAGTTTAATATGTTAATAGCAGATCAAGTGGCAACCAATTTACAATATGCAAAACATAATACTTTTTGTAATGCTAATAAACCAGGCAGGTGGCTGGCATATTTGTTAAGGAAAAAGCAGAAAGCAAGGACAATAGAGAAAATAAAATACAAGGGTAAGGAGGTTTATGAGCAAGAATTGATTAAAAAAGCTTTTTTAGAGTTCTATTCAAGGCTGTATACTGGTGATAAAATTCAAGATATAGATATAAATAGATATCTGCAGAAAGAGAATATTTATATAACTTCAAAAGAGCAGAGGGATAGCTTAAATCAATTGATAACTTCCGAGGAAATTATGTTTGCAATTAAGCAGTTGAAAGTAGGTAAAGCTCCCGGAACGGATGGTTTGACAGCTATTTATTATAAAAGTTTACAGGAGGAAATGGTGGAACCATTGAAGGAATTATTCAATAATATACAGCAGGGAGGAGAGGTACCTCCAACTTGGAAGACAGCATTTATTTAGCTGATCTCAAAAGATGGGCAAGACTATACAGATCCTAAAAACTATAGGCCGATTTCAGTTTTAAATACAGACTATAAGATTTTTGCTAAAATTTTAGCAAATAGATTAATGACAGTTATGCAGCAAATGATTCATCATGATCAAACTGGTTTTATAAATGGGAGACAAATGAAAAGTAATGTAAGGCAAATTGTTAATTTATTAGAGTATTTGGGAAGGAATAACCAGGTCCCCGCAGTGCTAGTTTTTTTGGATGCTGAAAAAGCTTTTGATAGATTGAATTGGCAATTTTTATTAAAACTAATAGAAAGGATGCAATTTGGAGAATATTTTACACAATCTATTAAGGCAATATATCAAAAACAAAGCGCAAATAATAATCAATGGTGGTTTAACAGATAATTTTAATATAGAAAAAGAAACAAGGCAAGGTTGTCCCTTGTCTCCATTATTGTTTATTTTGATGCTGGAAATTTTATTAAATAAAATACGTGGGACAGATATAATAAAGGGAATTAGAATTAGACGGCATGAATATAAGCTACGAGCATTTGCGGATGACCTGGTGGTTACCTTAGCCCAACCGGTACAATCGATTACAGCCTTGATGGATACAATCTGCTCATATGGACAAGTATCTGATTTTAAAATAAATACAGCTAAAACAAAGATAATAGTTAAAAATATGGACAGAAGTCAGAAAGAAGAGATAGAAAGGTTAACAGGATTTGAAATAGTTAAGAAGGTTAAATATTTAGGGGTTTATATTATGACTGCAAATACGAAATTATATCAACATAATTATGAACCGTTATGGCAAAAAATACAGAAAGAGATGGAAAATTGGAAAAAATTGCAACTGTCTTTGCTGGGTAGGATAGCCGCTGTAAAAATGAATATCTTACCAAGATTTTTATTTCTTTTTCAAATGATACCTATACTCAAAAAAGATGAAAATCTGAAGGAATGGCAGAAGGGCATAAACAAGTTTGTGTGGGCAGGGAAGAAACCACGAGTTAATCAAAAGATAATGCAAGACACCCAAGAAAGAGGTGGTCTTAAAATGCCCAACTTAAGACTGTATTATGAAGCTGCTACTCTCTCAGTAATTACAGATTGGATAAATTTAACAGAGGAAAAGATACTGAATATTGAAGGGTATTGTCTGGTCTACGGCTGGCATGCTTATCTATTATATGACAAGAAAGTAGATAAGACTTTTAAAAGTCACATATTAAGAAATGCTCTACTGAGTGTCTGGAAAAAGTATAAATCTAAACTAAAGGATAAGTTACCAATATGGACAGTAGCCAGACACGCGATAGAGAATATAAATTTGGAGCAAAAGCAAGATAAGTTTACATATAAGGAACTCCTTTATAAGGAAGGAGTTAGATTACAATTAAAATCTATGGAACAATTAAGAGAAGAAGGAATTATTAAGACTTGGTTTCAGTATGGTCAGCTGCAGGCCAGATGGAGAGAGGATCAAAAAACTGGTATTTTGCAGCAGGATGAGAATTTGATAAAGCAAATAAGAGATAAAGGTCAAATGCATATTAAAAGGCTGTATAATGTTTTAGTGGAAATAGATTCAGAAACAGAGCTAGTCAAGGATTGTATGATAAAATGGGCACAAAACATAGGTGAACCAATAATGTTGGATACATAGGAAAAGATGTGGGTTAGAAATGTAAGATTCACACAACCTCAAAACTTAAGAGAGAACTTTTACAAAATGTTTTATAGATAGCATTTAGACCCCAAAAAACTAGCCTGTATGTATCCAAATTTACAACCCAAGTGTTGGCGATGTGAGTGTGAAGATGCTACATATTTTCATATATGGTGGACATGTAAAAAAATTAAGACATTTTGGATAAAAATATGGTGGATTATTCAAAATTTTTTAAGAAAAAAATTAAATTTACACCACAGTTGTTTTTTGTTGTTGTTGGGAATAGTCACGGATTGCACTGTAATAGAGACTAAGTTGGTTTTAACAGCTGCCAGGTTACTGGTGGCACAATACTGAAAGAAGGAAGATCCACCTACCATTGGGGAATGGACATTTAAAGTTGTGCATTTGGCAGAGATGGCAAAAATTTCATCATATCTTAAAGATCATTCAAATGAAAGATACATATCAGAATGGAGAAGATGGATTGACTATATACAAAAAAAGTATCCGAACAAGAAGATTCATATAGCTTATGAATGAAATATTTTTAAGTAGTCTATGTTTATAGTTTTTGAGTTATAAGGAGTTAAAGATTTAGGGAGAATATGAATGCAATAATTTGTTAGCATATTTTAGCTTTATGTTTGTGAATGCTATACCCTGTGCTTGTTCTGGGAAGTCTAGGGAGGGGGGTGGGGGGAAGGAGGGGAGGGGGAAAGGGTGGGGGGGAGAAAATGTTTGTATTTCTTATAAAACTTTTCAATAAAAAAAAAAACAAATTTCTTGGATGAGAAGCGAAACATTTTCAAAGGAAAAAAACCAAGGAAGTCCAGTTGCCTTTTGAAAAAGCACCTTTGGGATTTGCCTTCAGAAGTTGTGGGTGCTACATCCCTGGAATTTTTAAGAAGAAATTGGACAAGTATTTGTCTGAAACTGTATAGGTCTCCTGCTTAAGCAGGGGACTGGACTAGAAGACCTCCAAGGTCCCTTCCAACTCTGTTATTCTGTCCCATGCCAGCTTTTCATCCATACAAAGGAAGTTTTTGGCTGCTGTTGTTTCCTTCCTCTTGATGCCATCCAGGCTAATTGTGGGATTTAATGCTTGTCCCTTTCTTCTTACAGGACCTGTACCTGCCTCTATCCTTGGATGACTCTGATTCTCTTGGAGACTCCATGTAAAGGAAACCCAGTTCCCCGTCTCTGTAGTACACGCTCTGTTTTAAATGCAGAGCAGTACTTCTGCCCAACGGAGCAGAGAGGTCACTGGTGCTCACAATCAATCCAAGGACACAAAACTTATAGTTATGCTTTCTTTGCTTTTTTGTTTTCCTCTTATGAGTTCTCTTCTGTGTTACAAAACCAACACTAGCAACGGACCAGAGGTAAAGGGATACCAACCACTTGCAGAACTTCGCCATCCAAGTTAAAACGGTTATTCCTGGTGGGTTTTGGAGCCAGAGATGAAGTAGAACATCGTGATTTTACGACTTTCTATTCTCTCTCTTTGTACTGGGTGCAATGACACCAGGATTGGCTGTCAGTGTAGGGAAAAAAATGATAGTCTTTTCAAAAGATTCCATGTCAAAATATTCCATCAGCAGATGTGGCAACACTGCCATTAAACTTCAACTTTTCCCACCAGGATGTTTTTCAGACATTCATAGTTACCAGCAACTTTACCAAAGTAGCTTTGTTCCCCTCACTCCTCCTGTGTTAAATTTAATACTTTCCTATTAACTGTACTTGATTTATGTTCACAGCCACCAAGGGCTAAATCCATGATGGTAATAAGGTCAATATATCACAGCAAGTCCCAAAAATAAATGAGCAAAAAGCTATTTATGGTAGTTTTGCTGCAGGACCTTTAAGGCCAGGATCTTTTCACTGCAGTGGATTTTTTAAAGGCAATAATAAAAAAAAAAGATTTGGTTGATATGAAGTTACTGGAAGTGCTGCGTGGTATCTCTTGATCTCTGAAAGATTCTTAATGCCTTGCAAACAGCCAACACTGAAAACACTGTGAAGGTTTTGTTTTCAGGTTTCTAACACTTCTCTGTTCCTACAACTACTGCGATTGCTGTTAAGATGAAATCAGTACAATTTTATAATGGAAAAATGACTTTACCTAGGTTGTAGAGAAGCAATTCTTCAAGTTCTTTCTTTCTTTCTTTCTTTCTTTCTTTCTTTCTTTCTTTCTTTCTTTCTTTCTTTCTTTCTTTTTTTAAAAAAGTAAAAACTGGTGACTTGATTTTGCTTAAAAAATAGAAAAACAAAAGTATAGAAAAATGTTCTGCGCAGTGAAACGTTTTTGAAGTTGCGGCCAAATTTAGCATCTGAAATAGGAAAAAAAACAGGGCTGGCATCATGATTGGGTGCTTTGGGGAGGTGGGCTGTTACCATTCAGTGAGTATTTTGAAGGGGTTTATAACATTAGGGGCCTCTGGGAGAATAAAGAAGTCAAAATGTCTGCTCTCCCCCATATCATTGGATTGGAGCCCTGACTTGCCTTTTATGTGTGTTGGAGCTTCAAAACAGCTTCAAAACAGCTTGGGTTTTGGGGCACCATGTTGATTTTTTTGCCTCCAGCCCCACCCCACCCGCTGTGCAACATGCTGGATTTATCTTGCCATTTTCGGCATGTTCAAGAATCCCAATTAAGGCCAGGAGACTACTTTTGAGTCCTCTTTTCTATGAAAACAGCCCATTAGAACAGAATGCAAAGCATAAGCAAGCTTTTCCCTTTTTCGTAATTGTAAATGCAATGTTTGATACAGGGCTGACCATTTTCCCTATGCCTTTTTATCAGTGCTGGATAATGTGTACCGCCTTGTTCCTGATTCATCAAAATAAGTGCTTTGATTTTTTTTTTTAATTCTCGGATCTTTCCATATGAGGTGCTCTACTTTTTTGGGGTGGCAACCCCTTTTTGAATTTAGAATGTGTATGATGAGAGTTTGTTCTTTCATTTCGATTGGAAAAGCTGCTTTGGGCCACTTGCATGAAATGGAAAGGTGAGCTGAACAGGCATGATTTTAAATGCTTTCACGTGGCTACTTAGCTCACTTCTTTTCTCACCTGGGGGTGGGGGGATTTCCCATTTCTTAAAATGGGAAAGATCATTGCACCACTAGCAAGTTTTGAGTTATGGTGATGATGTGAGTGAGCTGAGTGTTAGGATGTTATCGTTGCAGAGAAGGTGTCAGATGATGGAGTGGCCTATAGTTAACCACAATCCTGCACCACAAAGACAAGTAAGACTGAACCCATTGCTAGCCAAAGCAGTGTCTAAAATTCCCTATTCCCCAATGTTGTCGTTTGGTCTGATGCATCCACTAAACATTGGTTCAGGAGAACCATTTTCCTTGTAGGATCACAGTCAGATCGCCATGGGGAAGGCTGACTTTGAGGACAAAGCACAGAAAAAGATCTACAGGAGAATTTCCCATGGTGTGTTTGACCCCCTAGCAGATCTAGTGTATAAATTGGAGCAGGTCTCTTAATTTCTTGGTGCCTCAATTTACCTTATCTGTCAAAATAGGGACAGGAATACTTCTCTACCTCATGGGAAGGGTGGTTGGGTTGGCAGGTGAGTCATTTTGTTAATGCCGTAAAAGACATATTTGGTGGAAAAGTACTTATAGCTTGGGAAGGGATGGAATTTGTTGAGTTCAGGGAAGGTTTCCTGGGTGGCCTGAAAGATCTTCTTTCTACAGACAGCCAAGCAGCCCTGACCACCACAACTAATCAATGCACACACTGTGAGCTTTGACTGTTGTCAACACCAGAAACAGGAACTGATCTCTCCCTCCCAGATCTGGCAATAGTGACTCTGTCCCTCCTGAGATTCTGAATCATGGTTACAAAGGTGACCTCCATTGTTAATTGCTTACAGGAATACTTGTCAACTTGGAGATAAGCTTTGTTTGCCATGCATTCACTTTGCTCCAGTTTTGATCTTCTGCTCTCTCTTCTCTTCCTCTTGAAGGGTTGTTCTTATTTTGCCAGTTGAGTGTGATCAGAGGAGCTATACTTCTGGAAACTGAAATTGAATGATCCTTTTCTGCTAAAGGTGATGATGCTTCTTGACAACACTGCCTTTTTGGTCAAGAGTCTAAAAATCTTGATGCCTTCAACCCGATCTTTCCTGGTTTAATAGAAAAGAAGCAATGATCTCCATCAAAACTGAGCCATGGAGAACAGACCCTCTCCCTCCCTCTTTCTCTCTCTTACACACCTACACAAACACATACCCATGCAAAATACATCTATAGATGGTTGATCTATTTGATTGCTATTCTTAGGCAATGCCCTAGCATTAAGCCTATCCTTGGTAGTAGTACTGTAGAGTCTTTTGAATGTTAACTTTACTCTTTCTTGATTGCACAGAGAGGACAAATGTAGGCTGTTTCTATCTGCCAATGGAAACTCTGAAGTAGCATTGTCCTTTGTATAAAATGCTGGGAACACATATTAAGGGAGAAGCCACCATATTTATCTCCAGCTTGTAAGCCCTTGAGAAGCTCATAGATAGAATGATAAACTAGATCTGTTTTCCCCAGCTGATTTACTTCAGACTTCCAATTCTCTGAAATCCCAAAGAGAATTTAAGTTCCTTTAGTCATACAACCTGGACATTTTGACAGCTGGAAACTGGATAGAATTTTGGTCCATTCCAGTAGTGATTCTTGATCATGGTTTACATGCTATAGCTGAACATCTTTGCAAAAATACAGATTTGGGCTTTCATTTTTATTGCACTTAATAATGGCATGTCTGAAAGACTGATATAACAGGAATGTTGTTGCTTGAGCTGTGCCATGCTGTGTGTTACTTCTGAATCCAGAAATGGTGAGATTCAGCTTTTGTAAGCATTCGCCTTCAGCATTCAGAAACCAGAGGCCTAGTCAATGGAAAGTGAAGGTTCTTCTTTCTAGAAAAGGAATGGGGGAGGGCAGGGGGAGCCATTCAAAACTTGCAAAAGTGAAACAGGGTAAAGAACAAGACTCCCAGAAGAATCTTTCAGGTAAGTGTTCTTGAACTGTAGGTAGAAATCAGTGTCAGATGTAAAACTGCCTATGTAGTGGATGTTGCATGATTCTTTGTACAAAATAAATAAATTAAAATGCATGCCAAATAGCCATATGTACCATGCTAGGTGTGTTCAGCTCCAAACTCATAAAAAAAAAAAACACTAGAGGCTATAGTGCTTTTCTTTTACAGTCCATTCATTAGTGCAAATAGATGCCACCTATTTTATATAAACTGATTGTATTATGACAGACAGAAGCAGCGAAGGACTATAACAGCAGTTTTTAATACACAAGTTCAAAAGTTGAGTGGCACTTAAGGAGGGAAGGGCTGAGGGCCACAGTAGATGGACCACTGTATCACACATGTGAGCAAGGTTGATGGGGGAGGAGGCAGAGCGGGCAATTATTTAATTTTTGTTTGGCTCTTATATGCCTATTGTAGGATTTCTACTACAGTGTTTATTGCTTCCCCTTTCAAAATAACAACTTTATGTATTCGCAGAAGGAATTCAAGGACCACAGAAAGTTGATGCTGTAACTTGTGACCTTGAGGTTACACCTCATCCTGTCAGGCACAATCAACCAGACTCACATGAGTAGGCTTCAAACTAGCTCCTTTATTGTTCTGTGCCTATTCCACAGGAATCTTCCCAGACTAGAAGCTTTTGCCTGGAAAAACTAGATAAGATTCAAAGGCAATCAAGGGGTGGGGTGGACCTTTCTCTCTTATGTCTATGTAACGATTCCAGACTAATTCCCTACTTGATCCTTCCTCCTGACTGGGACAGTCTTTCTCCAATACATCCCTGCTCTAGCTCTAGGAATCTATGTTTGGTTTCTGTTTTAAAACTCTTGCACTTGAGCAGATGCAGGTTCAGGGTGTAGAAGACAGCAATAGCCAAATTGCACACTTGGGCCCCATATAGTCTTTTAGCCCTTCACAGGTGCCTGCAACTTTGCTTTTATCCATTCCCTCTTATTTTAACTATCCATGACCACTGTTAATGTCTTTAAGGTCCCTATTGCCATCCAGCCCATAAATGAAAATCTTCTCACTGCAGAGGACCATGGGGGGGGGGGAGCCCTGAATTACAGTCCCATGCTTTTTGTTTTGCACCGGCAGCTGCCTATTGTGAATATACATGTAAAAATGTCTTTGTCGGTCATGAAGAAGATCTGTCCTTTTAATCCTAGAAGCTCATAAATTATGAAGGACATGCTGTAGAGACCACTGTGAAGTTCTCCTAGTTTTGTGAAGCAAAGGTAAGGCAGTTGTCTTGAGGACAGATTATGGATAACTTGAAAGGGCAGATCTGTGGTAAATGTTGGGGAAAGTTTCTGGGAGATATTTGGACTTCAACTTGAAGTTCATACATCTTAAAGTTGCCAAGGTTGGATGGATTGAAAAAAGCTTTGATTCTGGAATAACTTCATGTAGGCCTTTAAAATATGCTAAAAAGAATCAAAGCTGTCTGCCTCTAGAAAAAAAACCTCAAGTTTGTTTTGGGATATTACCTCTTTGATGGAAGCATAGACCACAAGAGTTCCATTTCTTCTCTTTGGCTACTAACTTGAATATTTTCCAATAGAAACAATATTGTTCCTATATAATAAGTCACAGCAGCTAACAGCATCTGTCAAATTGCCCTTTTGATCTTAATCAACTTAATTTCCTTCCCAAACATCCAGGTTTCCATATTGTTTAGATTAGTGGTGAAATCCAATTTTTTTTACTACCGGTTCTGTGGGCGTGGCTTGGTGGGCATGGCGTGGCGTGCATGGCTTGGTAGGCATGGCAGGGGACAGATACTGCAAAATCTCCATTCTCACCCCACTCCAGGGGAAGGATATTGCAAAATCTCCAGTCCTTTCTGGGGCCAGCCAGAGGTGCCATTTGTCGGTTTTCCGAACTACTCAAAATTTCCGCTACTGGTTCTCCAGAACCTGTCAGAACCTGCTGGATTTCACCCCTGGTTTAGATGTGAAAGTTCTGGAATCAAACATATACTAGAACTATTTGGCATTACTGCTCTTGTCAAGCTTACAGCTAACAAGGAGAATACAAAGATACATAATCCCACCTCCCAGGACAAACCCAGCAAATTTAGAATGCCAACGTAATTTCTAATCCCCTCATCCCTTTCTGTATTTGGCATCCCATCTTTAACATCACCTATTTCTTCCTGAAACAGGTTTTGTCAGAAATAAGAATTCTTATTCATCCGTCACCAATTATCAATTCATGATGCAAATTATAAGAGCTAAAAGACTCAATATTCATAATACATTAAAATGGAAATTTACCAGGCACATAAACTGTAGCCTCTTGCAGCACAACAGTAGGGTTAGCATCCCAAAATATCACTTATAGTAGGTGCATGATCAATAGTACAATGAAATGTCTGCTGGGTTTGTAACATGAGTACAAAACCCTCAGTTGCATGTAATTGCAGAAGTAGAAGATGCTAGAAAAGTTTTGGTTGCAAACTACAGGTGTTATCACCTGTGTTCAGAGGTTTTATGTCTAATTCTGTCTTTGCACACACACCGAGGCAGCCGTCTTTCTTGGCTTTGTAATATATTTTTAATCAGGTTTTTTTATCTTGATCTTTGATCTTGAGTCCCTTAGAACACAAATACCATGCTTCTCATCTATGAAGATTCTTGGTCATCCAAGTCATGGTTGTCCCAAAGGTACTTTTTTCAAAAGGCAACTGGACTTTCTTGATTTTCCTTGAAGACGTTTCGCTTCCGACAGTGGGGAATAGAAGGATTCCAAAGATGACTGCAAGGAATAGAAATCCTTCCATTCTCCACCATTCAGTCAGAACTGAAGCAGCTTCTTGGGTGAGAATGAAATGTCTTCAAGGAAAAACAAAGAAAGTTGCCTTTTGAAAAAAAAACACTCTTGGGGCTACCATGCTTCTCATTCGGCCTTGATGTGGTGCATACTGTGGCATGCGGCCTTGGAAATTCTGAAAGTTGAAATCCATGCATCTTAAAGGTGCCAAAGTTAAGAAAACAGCTCTCTAGGCTATGTCACAAGGTTATCTTAATCAAGAATCCAGTATAGTCAATTTCATAGACTCTTGGTCATTTTCACAACTGTTAGCTTTTTCTGTCTTGGTATCTGTAGCTTGGTTTCCGCCAGATAATCCAATAAATTAAGAAGATCTTAATGCTTCTCTGAAACACATTTTTAAAAGGAATTCATGGCAATGGTAATTGCCTAAAATTGTCTTAAAAGGACTCATGGAAATTAACTGATTATTAAGGAAAAGTGTCAGGAGAATGGACTGGAGAGTATGTCTTGCATTCAGTAAGTTTCCTTATCCTGAAGGAATAACTTCTATGCATATTCACCCTTGTTCCATGACATATATTTAAACTGACAAATTTCTAAACCATGTTTCCCATTAAATGATTACAATTTTATTTTTCACTGTTACCTTTAAAAATCTGTCCACTTGAGATTATTATTGAATATTATCTTCATAGGAGAAGAGACACCTCCTCTTCTCCTACGGAAGATAATCCTATTACAAAATCCTCATTCCCACTCCACTCTGGGGCCAGCCAGAGGTGCCATTCTGTCTTCACTTTTTTTCCCCAGAAGGCAAATAATGTTGGAGACAAACGAATTTCTAATTAAAAAAAAAACAAAGCTTCCACATTCTCTGCCCTTAAACTTCCCAAAACTGGAGCCAGCCAGCTATTTCTCCCAGCATCATCAATGTGCCAAGCTATAAAGAGCTTTTATAGGTGAATACCAGCATTTAAATAGGATCCAGAAACTGACAGGAAGGCAGTGAACACTTGAAAAGCAGATGTAGCCCCTGTATGCACCAATGGAAGTTTCTAGATAGTCTTTCCAGGCAGCCCCATGTAGAATCTATTTCAGTAGTCTCATGTTATGGATGAGGGCAGATAGGGATCCTCCTATCTGAAGTGAGACTGCAATTGCTCAGCTGAAATTGAGCAAAGTCCTCCCTGGCCAGGACCTTCATTTGCTAATCCAGAAAGAGAAGTCTAAAGGTCCTCAAGTTGTGGATCTGGTCCCTCAGGAGCTGTGCAACTTTCCCAGAATTAAGACAAGAGGTCATAGAGGAACTCCAGTGTTCAAGCAACATTGTCTGTCTTGCTAGAGTTCAAGTTAAAGCTGATCTCTTATATCCAGATCTTCACAACCCCTAGACATCAGGACAACACTTCAACAGCATTTTCAATACAGGCCAAGGTCATGATGTATTGTTGAGTATCATCAGCCTCTTGATGATTCCAGACCTCAAACTGCCAAATGACCTCCCTAACAGCTTCTATAAGTGTTAATAATGGGAGGAGATAACTCAACCTTATATACAGGGGTATATAAAGAGCCACTAAACTGATCTCTTCCTTCTGGAACTATCTGTTGAGGAAGGATTGGAATCAATATAAAACAGTGTCTTCAACCTCCAGTCTCTGCAGCTTGTCCAGAAGGATGTCATGGTCAATGCTATTGACGGCCACTGAGAACTGCAGTACCTTCATCCAAAGCCTGACCAATGCTATCTCTGTCCTAAACCCGGGTCTGAACCCTGACCTCTTCTCTTTCTCCATACCTATTACTTTATAAAAAGTAGAATTGTGTAGAGACATCAGATGTGTGAATGCCACCAGCCAATTTTCTTAATCCTTAGCAAGTGACAGAGCAAAAACACATTGAATTATAAAACTCTCTGAATGGCATCTACATAAACATTCATTACTTTTTGGGAGATGCATCTCTTTCTTTACTGCTTTTTTGCAAAATAAACTGTGGCCTGAAGACTGTCAGGAACTAAAACCAGACGGTAATTTAATATCTTGAGTTTTCTGAGCTGATTATGTATGATTTGCTTCATTTGTGACAGAAAGCTGCAATATAATATAACCAGGATGTCAAAATGTGTTTTCTTCTATAATCTTTCTGTGTTGAGTGGGAATGAAGTGGGAAAAAAACCAAGAATTTTAAAAAGTAAAAGAAGAAGCAAGTAAGGTTTAAAGTTTAGCTGGCATACTTTAAACTTTCTGTACAGAATCTTTAAAAACAGGTCCTTTGTATGAATTGTTGAATTTTACAGGGTGGATACTTTAGTTTTTGTTTTGTTTTGAATGTCATATTTAAAGAATGAGTCATTGTAAAGAGGATGAATTAATTAAATTAAGGGGTTTTTTTTATCTTTCTCTAACAAATCAATCTAATATTTTCATAACCCTCTATTAGTACAGTTGAAGGATTTTATAAAAAGCTGGAAACTTTTTTTTCACCCACATCCAACAAAAATAATCTCTTTTTCAGTAAATTTCAAAATGTTTTATATCTTTGCAACAATTCCCCCTTCTAGCAATCAGCACTGGGTTAAATTAAAGTGAAGCTGCACCATGAAACAAGGCTGACATATATCAGGAGCATCTGCAGAGGAGTAAAAAAAATCAAGATGGCAGTCTCAATCATATGACCAAAGTCCTGGGCCTTTGCACTTGTGTTGCAGGCACACATAAAGGCTGTAGTTTCCATCACATAATTGTGACAGCTATCTTTACTTTTTTGAAACCCAGCCTCCCATGGCAAATGCCCCTTTTGAGATGTTCTCCAAGCTTCCAACAACCCCTTCTCCAATCAAAATAGCTCATTATAGTATTGATATAGAGAGACAACTAATTGTAAAATAGGCAGCAGCATTTTTGGTGCCCTGGAAAACTTGTGGTTAAGGACATTAACATGGATTGGCCATGTGGCAATAGAACTACAAAGTGGAGGGGCCAGGAAGTTGATCATGGCTGATGCTTCAGATAGTTGCTACAGCCCACCTGCTGAACCAACTTGCTCTGCACCGCTTCCTGCTCACAATCATGAGCTCTTAGTGTGTTGTTCTATGACATCTCCACCATTAGGGTGTCCATAGGAAGCAGGAATTCAAAGAAAGTCAGGATGGTGGCTACATTTGTCTGGCTGTAGCACTATCTGTACTTTTTGGCCCACCTGTACAAACAGTAACAGAAGAGACGGAACAGCATTTTTACAAGGCTTATGATGACCCTATGATCTGCTGTGCAATTCAAATTACAAATGTTCTTCCTGTCCCAACTTGTTCCCATCCATAACACTGCTCCATAATTCTAGGTACATGGAGGAAGAACCTTCCAAAAAACTCTTTGAGCAAGGATAGCAATATGATTTTTTTTCCTTAATTAGCTGGGCTCAGGGAAATTACATGGTGCCATAGACTATGTGTTATTTCCTCCTCGTTCCTTTGACTATGAGATTGCTTTTCATGAACTCCTGTATGTCCTTAACCTGACTCCAGTCTGATGAAGACCTAAGCAAAAGGGAATTCTTTTAAAGTCTGTCCTTTAAAGTCTCTTTGGTGTCAATCAGGTAATTTCACTTCTATTGATGATGTCCTGCTTGGGGATGTTGACATTTTCTACATGAGGAACAATAATTGGAGTTTCCATCCCAAACTACTCTCGGCTGTTATTGCCTTGTAAAATATTGCAGCTTTAAACCAATGAACCCACTCTCTTCTCAAGGTGCATGTTCTGAACCCATTCTGCATTCTAAACTCATGGCAAGTCACTTAGCAGTCCGTCCACCATTTTTTCAGCCATTCAACTTGTACAGAAAGCATTTTTATCGAGATCTTTGGGGGAGGGGGGATTATTTTTTTTAAAGCTTCAGTTCCATGGCTAAAGGTAGAATTAGGCTACTTAGCTGACAGACATTAAAATAGTTGTGGTAGTTTTTAGACATTTTAGATTGCTAGCAAAGAAGAGTTTGAGAGTAAATGCATGGTATTGACATCTCATGCCTTAAATCATTTCTTTTGCCCACTCTTGGCTTCTCTCTGTCCTTCTGTGTTTTGCATTCTTGTGGGGTTTTTTTTTTCAGTTATTGATATATACATGGAATATAGCAAGAGGACAAAACCTGAATAAGCACTGATTGTGGGAAGGTGTTTCATTACAGTTGTATTGTACAATTCAATGTCTTGCTCCTAAGAATAACTTGCCTTGATTTTTGTCTGTTTACGGCAACAGACCTCACAAATGTGTTTCCGGAGCATTATGCCCAATGCCATTCAGGGTTTTTTGTACTTTTTTAAAGGAGAAAATGTATATAATGTCAAGAACTTCCCTTTTTTCCCCTGAATATTTGAAATGGGGTAGAGAGGGCACCCGATGGTACCAGGATCCAATGGAGAAATGTTGCGTTCTATCCTAATGGTTCCCTCTTCTGATGATTACCACAATCGAAAAAGTGTGATCGTTTACATTTGAAGGAACCATAGTTCCTGGGTTGACTCCAAACAGAGTCTGCAGAGACTAAAAACCCGAGAACTTGCGAATCAGTGACTTTGAATGAAAAGAAAGCAAACTGGATGGACGTACCCCGGACTTACTTTTTTGAGTCTCTTTTTCTCTCCACTGGAAAGGCCCTGTTTGAAGACCTGATGCTTTCAAGTTCTTGGTTTTCCAATGGTGAAATATTGTGAACTGTTTTTATTGCCCGTCGTCCTCTCCACCCAATCCCGACCAGATGAGATCTGTAACATGCAGCAAGAAGAATTTGTATACGTGATAGCTTTGCTCTCAATATTTGTTATGCATTGTTTTCCCCCCCATCTCAATGTACATTGGCAACGTGTGTGTAATGTCATCTTCCAAAATAAAATTTGGTTTCAATACTTAGGTGAAGAAAGATGTGGTGGACTGAAAGAATGTGTCTTTTCTGTTCCGTTGGTGGTGCTTTCAGAAAGAAGTGGGCAAAGCTTTTGGGTGGGGCAGCTTGTTTTTGTAATTGGAGTTCCAAGAGTATAGGGGGATACAGTAGAGATGTTGGTCATCCCCAGAAGTGGATGTCATGATTTGTAAAATGAAACTGGATTAAGGTAAGTAAAAATTCAGCCTCACAAGTGGGAAATATTCACAAACAAATGTAATTCATTTAGATTTGACATTTATCCAAGAAGCTAAAAGAGTCACCTATGAGTCCCATTCTATATTCTCTGAATTTTCTTCAATTCATATAAATCTTTCACCTTTTACTAAATATGCTGCTAAATAGTCAGCTGCCAAAGGATGTTAAACTGAGTACTTATCAGACCATTACGTAATAAGCTCCACTCTGAAGCATAGAGAATTCACAATTATAATTAACCGCAGATTCATTCAGAGATCTTTTTCATCATTTATTACCTAATCTAACTCAAGTGATGATGCTGGTTCTTGAGGTTAGAAGATAAAAGCTCCCTCACAGTGAGCTCAGCTCCCAAAGGCTTCCCATGCTGTCTTTCTGAGATCTTTTCATTTTCCTAGTCTAGTTCAGACCCCTGGGATTTTGGATGCTCCACCATCTAAGTACTAACCCTGTTTAGATTTTTGGTAGTCTGCATTATCAAGAAGGCATGTGCTCGAAGCTGAAATATTCGTCCACAGTTACATCAAGAGCTGCATGGCTATTTATTTTTTTATTTATTTATTGGTTCGATTTATATGCCGTCCTTCTCCGGAGACTCAGGGCGGTTTACAATGCGTTAAGCAATAGCCTTCATACTTTTGTATATACCTGCTTAGTAGGGCTTTTGGCCTCCCCTAAGCAGTGTTCTTTTTTATACAAAGTCAGCTTATTGCCCCCACAAACTGGGTCCTCATACCGGCTACATATGGATCTGAATCTAACTCTTCCAATTGCTGCATACTGGTTGTAGGTACAAGGAGTCCTCAACTTACAACAGTAATTGAGCCCGCAATTTAGGTTGTAACTTGCAATGATTGTTAAGCAAGTCACCAAATGATCATACTCAATTTTACTATCTTTTTTTGCAGCGATCCTTAAGCAAATGCCAGGGTTGTTAAGCAAACCCATTGTTTGCTATAAGGATCATAAATCATGGTCATGTGGCAGCCAGATGCTGCAAATGTCTATAAATTGGTTGACAAGGGCTTGAAATACAGTCACATGACTGTGGGAAGGCAGACACTGGAACTTCAAATCTGAGCTGTTTTTGAGTGGGACTGTCATAACTTCAAACAATCACCAAGCAACTGGTCATAAATCAAGAACTACCTGTATCTTTTACTCCTTCCTTCCTTCCTTCCTTCCTTCCTTCCTTCCTTCCTTCCTTCCTTCCTCTTGATTCCTGGCAAACATCTGCACAAGTCTCCACAATTTTCTTGCAAGTCCCAAAGGTATTATTTTCAAAAGTCAGTTGGACTTTCTTGGTTTTTTTCCTTTGAAAATGTTTCACTTCTCATCTAAGTAGCTTGAATTCCTAGACTCTGGAAGGCATTGTGGATGAATGAAGATAGGAATCTCAGAATATCTCTCTCCCTCCCTCCCTCCTTCTCTGAGTTTGTGGGTTGGTTTCCCAACATTTCATTACCAGGCAACATCTTCAGAGGAGTTTAGGGGATGGCAGTGTTCCTCTGTTTATAAGGGCTTTGTATGGTCAATAGGTCTTATGACATCAAGTGAGAGTCTTGTGGTGGGTTTTGCGATGAGGCATGTCTAGCTCAAGACTTAACCACAATTTTGCTTCACATAAAGCCTTATCAGAGATAGCAACTTCTGGACCATTTAAAACTTTTGCAGAAAATGGGCTGACTTCCTCTTAGGAAATACCCATCTGTCTGAATTAGGTCAAAATTTCCAGTCTGTTTTCCAGATGTGTTTACTTCTCCTCTCCAAGACTATCTGGCCAGAAAGACTGAGAAGTTAAGAGAGATCAATTTGAGGTCAGCCAAAATCTGCAAGGAAGATTTTCTAGGATGGTTTCACTCAGGTGAGCTTTTGGCCAGAAAGAAAATGAAAAATTGTCCAGATGCAGAGAAACCTGGAAATGTCTACCTGTCTGGCTCTGTTGTTTCTCCTGCTTAGATTGTGATACAGAGATAAGTGGAAATGGCTTTCACCTAAGAAGGAGAATCAAGAAGTGACTGATCATAATCTATTGGGTTAATAATAACATTTCTGGCAAACGTAGAAGAAAATAAATGGAGATGCTGTTGAGCCTTCATGGAGTTCTTGATTTCTCATCGAGTCATGATTATGCAGCTTACTCCCTTCCCCCATCAAGTGCCACCATTTTAACAACAATAAAATAGGAATGCAGCACCTTACAGGTAGAAAAGCAAATTATAGGGCATTTCCAGATTCTCATTGGGTTTTTCCCAGTCTCTAAAGTGCTGGTCTCAGCTGTTTTTAAATTAATTGATTTCACTCCAATTAATTGATTTTCACTGCACAATGACAACCACACAGCTAAGCAATTTTAAAATTGGATTTTTAACTCATTTACGGAAGATAAATTGGTCCACAATTATTAGCTATGAAAATTTACTAAAACCTGCAGAGTGAAAGGATTTTAGAAGACCCTTGTAGGTGTGTTGTAATTGCTGGGAAGACAGAGAACCAATGTGAATTGTGCTTTTTATTCTCTTGCTTATTGATCCACATGTGTGTAAACTGGCTGGTTACATTACTGCATTACTAACTGAACACTTGATAGTAGAGCTTATATAATATAGGTGAGATTCTACTTCTGAGTGAAAACTTAGCATTTTATTTGTCAAGGACTGTGGATCATAAATCATATGAGCAACTCTCATACCCAGAAGACAAGGCTTTCATCTTTGCTGAGAAATATTTAAGATCTCATAGGAGGTAAATGCCGGAGAGGAGAAAACTGCATTTTATTTTAATAAAACACACAAACCAACAAAAAACAAGACAACAACCTTGATTCTTCTCCCCTACTTATCCTTGCAATTTATTTGCTGCTTCTCCTTTTAAACTTCGAACAGATGCAATCTTTCCTTTGGTAGTTCTCATTTTTCTTTTTTAACAATTTTTTATTTTGATTAGAACACACAAAGATACAATACATTTTTCCAGAACGAGCTATTGATCCGGTCATAAGTAGGTACACTTACTAATTTCTCTTTAACAAAAGCTTTTTCCAAATCCCCACTAATTACCATCTTTTTTAAAAAACAAAACAAAAAAAATCTAACTTATATTAATTTACAAAAATCAATTACCTTTCTATTATTTCACCTCAAATCTTAATTTCCAAATAACACAACTTAATATTCTATACCATTATTGCCATAAATTCTATCTAACTAAAAATGTCTTAAAACCCATTACCTAAATCTTAAAATCCTTAACCAAATATCATTTCAATTTCTTTTTCTTTCAACATGGATGGATATATCTTAAAAACATAAATCATCAAGATATTTACACAGTATTTTAACTGTTAACATTTATCATCTTCATTTTACTGTTTATCTTGACATAGTCACTTTTATTTTAACTCTTAATCACAACATAATCATTTCATTATTAATATTAATTCCAGTATAATCATCTCCCAGCATATAATCTTCATCTTAATCATTTTCTTTTGGCTGTTAATCTCAGCATAAGCTTCTTAAATTGTACTGTTATACCCAGTATAATCATCTTATTTTACTGTCAATCCTAGCATAATTATCTTTGTTTTACTGTTATGCTCAGTATAATCTTCTTATTTTGCTGTCAAACCCAGCATAATCACCTTAGTTTGCTGCCTATTCCAGCATAATCACTTTTTTTATTTTACCATCCATCTATTAATCTTATTTTGCTGTCAAACTCAGCATAATTATCTTTATTTTTACTGTTATACCCAGTAGAATCATCTTTGTTTTTGCTGTCTATCCCAGCACAATCACCTTAGTTTGCTGCCTATCCCAGCATAATCACTTTTTTTTGTTTTACCATCCATCTATATGTTACTTATTCATGTTCAATCACATTATCATTATCATCTTTGTAACACATTAACATTGAGACTTAGTTCTTGCACCAAACAGATCCTTATATAAATTAATAAATTTCTGTTAACATATTCAATTCCTCTTATATTCTAACTTCCCTCTTTATTTCAGTTTTTATATATCTATAACAAATTCTTCTCATATTCTTATTCATTCTTATTCCTTTATAAAAACCTCCTTTTTATTATTACTATCCATCTTTACATTGCTTTTTCATTTTTAATCACATTGTTTTTATCTTCTTTTTTCCAGCTGTGTACATCTTATTCCTCATTTCCTTGTCTGTTAGCGTATATTTCATTTCAATTTCAATGTTCTCAATTAAATTCTCCATATATATCAATTTAGTTATTTTTCTTATTTCTATTTCAAGCAAATCACATCAATTTTCTTCTTTTGTTTCTGCGCCATTTGACTTCTTTTATTCCTGCGCCAATTAGTCCAATTATAGGAGTTCCGTTATATTTTCCCTTTCTTTTCACCAAAGTTCAAACAAAAGGCAGCTCCACTGCCAGAAATCCCACAGTTGTTATCTGTAATATTCAAAATGTTCTCAAACAAAAAACAAGTTACAATGTTTCTTTTAAACCAGAAGGTGTCTCTCTACAATCCACAATTTCCATTAGTCATGCAAATCACCATTTTATTTCAATTATATAACATTCCTGCTTGATTCTCTCCTTCTTCTGTGTTTTAAAAATAATAATTCTTCTTTTCTTTAATAGTCCAATTCAAACTTAAAGTTTGATCAATTTTGAACCCAGTCTCAATGTTTATTTTTTCAATTCAGTCTATTCAAACATCAATTTTCAGTCGGGTCTTTTTCTTTTCTTTTAAGAATTTCATCCTAAAATCTTCTATGCCCCATAGTTCCTCAG